TGATTGGTTAGCCACATACAAAATTCCTGATATTTGTAATTATGACGTGAAACTGATATATATTGAAATGACAGTAAGTAATCTTTCAGGGCCTGGTTGTTCAATAGCCGGTTACTTTAAACCAGGGTTAACTCAAATTTTCACATCATGGGCCGGTTGTTCGAAAGGCGTTCAGCTTTTAAACCCAATGTTTAAAAATTCTTTCATACAACAACTTGTGAATGACGGAACCTACATCATGAACTTATCCACCGTTTAAGCTAAACGCCTTTCGAACAACCGCCCCCAGTTTTTTTAATGGCTCGTTTATGAAATTGATAAATATTTTGTTTCTTAAATATTTTGAGGACAAAGAAGTCTTATTTTGTAAAGTTTTGAAAAGGTGCAGAAGTGCGACAAATTACAACAATCGACATATAAAAAAAGTATTTATCAAGCTAAACGACTCAAGCTGAACGATGTAGAGATTAAACTGTTCGCACTTAATGCGTTCTGTACTTGCACATCGCACTTTGTAGGGAACAGAGAAAGACAGTAATGTTTACAAACCTTAATTAGGACTGTGCTCCTGGGGCCAGTTGTTCGAAAGGCGTTTAGCCTAAACGGTGGATTAGCCAAAGATTGAAAAATGCTCTCATACATCTTGTGAATCACTGAGCCTCTCGTGCATCTTTAAATAATTATGTACTTGAAATATGCACTTAAATATGTACATTGAAAATTAAACTATTTACATCGAATATAACCAGGATTAGGAAGCAGCGTCTTCAAACAACGCTTTAAATATGGTATAACAACTACGGATGCGTAACTCGGATACTTTTCATAACAACACACTTGTATTAAGTCTCTCTAATTCTTCGCTTAACTGCATGCAATAAAAGACAATTTGTCATTCTATTTGTCAAATGGATTGGTGCCTGAGGCAAGCCAGATAAATTTACACCGGTAAAGTTATGCGAATCTATAGTTCGATCTTCTGGCTGTGTAATGATAGGTCATGTGTTGTTGTCAATTTCAAGGTAGCGAAGATCCACACACATGTACAGTATATAGTTCTTCTCAAAATCTTGGCAAATCGCGATCATCTGTACATATTTGAAGATAATTGCATTTTGCATTGCAAATTTCTTTATACGACATCGACCATGCATGGATAATTGGAAATATTGCATGTTAAAACTGCGTCATATCGATGATAAGTTATTGTCGTATTGTCATTAAAAGCTATACTGTATTAACTTTTAATTATACAGTTAGTTACAGAGCTGGCCAATCAGAATGGTGTTGAGTTTAGTGCGATTTAACGACGCAAATGTTTGCTAAGTGCGTATATACAACTGGCCCGAAATATTTACTTCGATAAATCGTCGCGGATCTGGTCTGATTGTCTTGCTGTGGTGATATACCAATTTATAAAGTTATTTTAATTCAAAATAAAGTTATTCCAATTTTAAAATATTAATATAAGACCCCAAACTCCTCTTAGATGTATGATGAATTTTGCAATGCATGATGTACTCGTCGACGAAAGAGTGGTGTGATGCAGATAATTTTCCTCCGTAAATCTTGGAGATGTAATGTGGTCGTCCAACTGCATTATGCATGTTATTTCAATATCTTTCATGTGGTTTAGAGAACCGAAAATATTGATAACTATTGATAACTATCAATTTCTCTAGGTATTGCGGAGCAATATCTATCAATAGTAGTCATCGTGATACGCAGGATTTTTTTTTTCAAATCTTCTTTACAGTCTGTTAACGTGAATATATGAATATTGCCCCCCCCATTTATGGATGCTGGCCAAGCTACCGAGAAAAAAAACGCCACGTATCACATCCACATACACACACACAAAGACTTTTTATTTCTATCATACATGCATTCTAGTCGACAGTCGAGGACAGCCGAACCCAGCATATGGTGATCTGTATTTACGGCTCTGTCCTTAATCGTGCACCTCCAAGCGAGGGTATGTTAGGCCTCTTTCAAGAATAGGCGTGAAGCTATCTAAAGGCTTAGCAAAGTTGTGGTGAAATTACTTTCTCTTTGCAAAACTCTTAGTGAATTATACATACCATAGTTTTCCTCCCTCATGTTGATGTTATAACCTCGAACAATATATATGATCCGTTATGATCTTTAAGCCTAGCTCAACGGGTTTTTTTTCATTCATCGCGTGATCAGAATGTTGGAATCATTCCCTCGAGTACTACTTCTTTCGAAGATGAATGTTTGAGTAATCAACTCGGTAATAGCGAGGTTCAGATTTGACTACCACTACGACTACCACAACCTTCGAGGGAATATAAACCAATCAAATGTGATAGGTCTATCAGACTAACCAATCACGAGTTTAATAGATTAGCGAGAGGTAGTGGTAGTGGTAGTGGTAGTGGTAGTGGTAGTGGTAGTGGTAGTGGAAGCCAAATCTGAACCTCGTTATTAACTGCATGACTGCATGACCATGATGTTTATGTCGTCACGACTTATGAATCACTGACTATGAATCTATTCAATACTATGAATCACTGACTCACTGTTTTACCAGATGCTTTTGTCATTCATAACATTGAAGATTCTGCAAAATGCATATCAACTGTATATGTATTCGAGTTTCAATATTTGTAATTGAATGGTATTTCGAACTTCCGACGATTTCGTCATTGTAAACAACTGAACTTAAAAGAACCTGTACCAAATCTTGGAGGATCTATAATCTGATCGTCCTACTGCATGGTGAAATGTTATTTCAATTTCTTTCATATGGTTTAAAGAATCGAAAATATTGCTAATTAAATCTCAGACTCTCTCAGATCGATGATATTCATGTTAAGCATGTATGTTAGTTAGAAATTAGAATTGCACTAAATGTTTATTATTGACCTCGGTTAAGAGCCAAAATGTAGGTAAACTGTTCAAGCACTTTCAAGCACTAAAACTTCGACAATCTCCGAAGATTTCATTTCTCTATAGGTGTTGTGGAGCAACAATAAAAATATAAAAATCTATAAAACTAACTCTGACTTCCTCAGATATGCCTGTAATTATGAGTTATGTCTTGCGTTGTCAACCTCAACGTGGAGAAGAACCAGATATATAGTTCTTTTCGAAATCTTAGTAGATCTCGAATGTTTGAATAATCCGCTCGGCATTAACTATATAGTATATGAATCACTGACTTACCTAGTCACCAGGGCCCGGTTGTATTAAGCCCGTTTAGCGTAAACGGTGGATAAGTCAAAATTAAATTACACTCTTACAACTCTCTTGAATGAGTCAACGTGAATGTTATGCACTGAATATGTAGTTGTAAACAGTATCTTTGTATTAAGATTAAAAACATTTAGTTTGCTTGTTGAATAAAACGGCAGACTTGCTTTCTATTTTGAACTTATCCACCGTTTAAGCTAAACGGGCTTGATACAACCGGCCCCAGGTGTCATTTTTAACTTTCACGATTCTGCAAAATGCCTCTATTTTAACAAAATTATCGGTATTCGCGTTTTAATATTGGTAATTGTCTGGGGCCGGTTGTATCAAAGCCGGATAGCGCTATCCACCGAATAGTGATTTTTTCAACCGTTCTAAAAATGCTCGAAAGGGGATAAAATTTCAGCTTGAAAGCAACAATTATTAAAGAGGATCTTCAATTTAGGAATACTAAGATTTAATCAAAGTTGTAGCAAATAACGGGCGATTTTGAAGCAATTGAAAAAACCACTATCCGGTGGATAGCGCTATCCGGCTTTCATACAACCGGCCCCAGAATGGTATGACGCACAGGGTTCTTCATTGGAAGCTAGCCTTTTTCGAATTCATTAAAAACAACTGAACGTAAAAGAACTGGAATGCTACCGCCTGATTGACATGCTTAAACATTTGAAGCCAAATCATTCCTCCAGACACGCATGTTTTAACTGACATTCTCGCGAGGCTCTTTAAATTTAAAATGATTTAAATTGAAAGGATCTTAAATTTTGAATACTTTTTAGTTTTGACGGGCGGAAGTTTTTATCGTAAAAATGCATTAAAAATGCGCTGTACGTACTCTTAAATATGTTTTTATAGATAGCAGTCTTTAGTTATCAATCAAGGGCGTACCGAGGTATTTCCATGCATGCAATTGGGTGTGTGTTTGCGTGTACGTCCCCCAGGTTTTACCAAGACAGTTCACTAAAAGTCGCACATTTTTACTTATGGAGCGATATAATAGCCGAATTTATATTAGAAGACGGATTTCCGCCTGAGACGCAAAACTCGACGAAGACGGGTAACTCGTCTTGATACCTGTGCCCTCCTCTTGGACGGCATTTTGTATCCCAATATACACCGCAAAGCTTAATTACCAGTCTTTTATTTCAATTTTATTTCTAAAATTTGTCTGATGAATCGTCAGATATAAATTTAGACGGAGTTTTCCGTTAAGGACAAGAAATTCGTCCAATTTCTTCGTCGTTTGAACGGAAAAGTTGGACGGAGAAATTAAGACGAGAAATTAAGACTGCCTTTGTTTTAAAACAACTATCAATTCCCCCGCTCCTCACGCCCAACCTGCTTGGTACCCCCTGTTTATCATAGAAAAACGATATTCAAAACATACGTTTGAGTTTACAATGTTTTTTTTTAAATAACGCAGTATAACCTTTACTGCAGTTGATTCCTGAGGCTTTGGCAAAAAAAATAAAGCTGGATTTTTTTAACAGGCTAAGCGTATCATTGGTGAACGTAAATCCTCGCCCGTTGACGCCATCTTAATTTGAAACTCCACAGGCTTTATCTTTTTTGAGAACGAAGTCCCCGATTTAAAACGTTCCCGATGTCTGGTTTGTCAACTGATGGCTTCCTTGCAAAGTGTTTACAAGCAACGTGTCATTATACTAGTCTGGGGCCTACTGGAGGTTATGTTTTTATCGGCTGTCATCTTTGGTTGGGCCTCTCTTGTAGTATTCTTAAAGAAAGAGGGCTTTTTTCGCGACTTGTGCCCGTCCAAGCACGAAGGAAACGTGACTTCCCATAATGACTATTGCATCAAGCAGGACAAACGGTTGAATTTGGTCTTTCTGATCGGTGTTATCTCGTTAGCTTGGGGTGCGTTCGTTTCCGGGGCCTTTCTGGACCGTTTCGGACCAAGAAAAACAAGACTTCTTTCAAGGTAAGAGCTAGCTGCTGTCACACTTCATATAGCTTGTATCACAAAGTTCAAACAAAAGGCATTATAGGCATAAAACCATTCATGTACTTGCCAAAAATCGTACACTTATCATGGTCCATTAATACAAGACATTGGCAAAACTATTTAGCCATTTTGATCTGTTACCGAGTCTCCTAACTACACAAATGTTACTATCTCACTCTGACATATTTGGGATGAATTGCAAGTAGTTTTTACACAATTTTTCGAATATTTCTTCACCACCTGAAATGACCTTTGTAAGTGCTGTTAAACATCACCCCGCTTAGGTGCTGTTTACACGCATATAAGCCCGATTTATATCCAGGCTTCAACGAAGGGTGGTATTGAAATAAGTGTTTATTGAAACAAGACGAGAAAATGCTGTTGTTGGGATGAATACGAGTGAAAGGATGATGTTATCTACTGATTTCAATACCCCAAAGTCATTCAACGTCAGGTTTATAATCTTGGCTAAGCGGGATCATGTAAATAGCCTCTTAGTCGTGATGAGAGAAGGCCTGACATGACTTTGAAATGATTAAATATAACATGATCCCGATGTAGTCACCTCAACAAAAGCATGTTTGTTTCATAAAGATTTATTTCAAAGCCTGGCTCACATGTCGTAACTCGTCGACGATGTCTGTTTTCCGTGGCTTGATTGATGAAAAAAATCTGGTTGGGCTGTTTATGTACATTTGACCAAATATGGTAATCAAAATTACCAGATCTGGTCACACTGATATGTGGCCTAAGACGCAGTTCGTCCCAAAACAGCCCCCAAATCTCGCGATCACTATCTACCACAGGGGCCGGTTGTATCAAGCCTGTTTAGCCTAAACGGTGGTTAAGTTCAAAATAGAAAGCACGTCTATCGTTTTATTCAACAAGCAAAGTAAACGTTTTTAACCTTAATACAAAAATACTGTTTACAACTACATATTCAGTGCATAATATTAAAGTTGATTCATTCAAGAGAGATTTAAGCGTGTTATTTAATTTTGACTTATCAACCGTTTAAGCTAAACGGGCTTGATACAACCGGCCCCAGTACCTGTCCTCACTGCTATTTTGAAATGATTATAACTTGAGAGTTTGATGCCACCTACGGCTACATGACGAGTTATATTATTGAAAAAGGATGTCTACAATTTGCAAATAAACCACGAATTTTGAGCTTTGGCCCAACAGAAAAACAATTAAAAAATTTTGTGTCGAAGACTCGACTTTGACATTGTTGTAATTCATTTCATACACCCGACTGCATAACAATAGCAGAAAAAATTCACAAATTAAGTGCTACTCGTACTGGCTTCTTAAGGGATTCGTTTCTCAAAAGTCACAGCGTTTCTGGAGCTTCCAGTTGGACATTCCTGTGAAAGAACAACGTGTTTTTTGTCCACTGATTAATTATTATTCGTTGAGATCAAACATCAACGCCGACGCCAAGGCCACCGGGCCACCGGCGCCTTTCGTATTTATTATTATGCAAAGTAATATCTAGCGTGACTTGTATTAAAATGGCTGCCCTTCAACGTGTTTATAAGCAACGTTATTTAATACTATTATGGAGTGTGTTAGAAGTATTTTTCATGTCAGCCATAGTCTACGGCTGGGCATCATTAGTTGTGGTCTTGAAGCAGGAAAATTTTTTCCATGGCTTGTGCGAGGGTCATACAAAGTTTGAAAATAAAAGAAATTCGAGTTCTGTAACCGGCGATTGCTTGCAACAAGACGAGCGGTTGAATTTAGTATTTTTGACCGGTGTTATTTCGTTTTCTGCGAGTGGTTTTTTCTCGGGAGCCTTTCTTGATCGCTTTGGACCGAGGAAGACACGACTACTCTCAAGGTAGGCTCAACTTCGACGAAGGCAAGCCGACATAATATTAGCACGAGTATTAGTAAACATACTTTTAAAGTCGTTTGATGGCAGCTCAACTCGGAAAGCAAATGAGCAATTTGAAGCAAAGTATAAATATTTGTGGAACCGTAGTATCGATGTAAACTTCAGCTTGAAGAAGCAATTTACAAACTTTATAGAATATAGTGTCAATTGAGGTCAAGGTTGTCATTAAGTGTACAAATTTGAAATGATAAATTTGACTAAAATAATTGCAATAATATTATGTCAACGAAGCATTGAATATATTCAGTCATTAAATGCTGACACGTTGATCTTGTTTCCGATTTCTAATCAATACAATCATTACAATGCATGTGTATTAACAGCTACAAAGCCAGTAATTTAAAAGCTTTACGATTACTGAATTTTTATGAAAACATGTTGAAACAGGGACCGGAATATCGAATGAGCTGCAGATATGTAGATCATGTTTACACTATACCGGATTGCATCGTTGCGTCGCAATTTTCATACTGGATTCAGTTTCTGTCCGCATTCATTGGAGGTGATATTAAAATTAATCCGGTACATGCCGGTGCACGTAGTGTGAACAGTATAAAAGTAGTGGAAACGCGCTTCAAATTTCGCGCCGCATAGCCGCATTAATAAACAATCCGATACAAAAATTCAGCCGAAAATTTAACAGATCTTAAAAGGAAATTAAACCTGAAATGATCACAATGACATGGCCAAAGGGATAAGTATATCACTTGAAAACGTGAGCCCGTGATCAGCATTGCAGCGGAGCGTGTTACTGAGCCCGCAGTCAACATTAATTTGCTGCACTTATTGCTAACAGCATATTTAATCGAGTGTAACGATTACGAGGAATATGCCAACGATTGTGAGCGCTAGTCCGTGCAGAACTTTGCAGTTTGCAGCCAAATTTATTCCAACAACTTTTTCTCATTATTTTTACGCGTGCACGGGGTATAAAATACTGGTCACGTGCTGCAGCCTAGTACACAACACATGCGCTAAAGTGGTCTTATTTTTTTATTCTAGTTTCCTTTTCGGGTTGACTTTCCTGTTCTTTGTGCTGGCAGACAAAGGTATTTCGTTAAATATCAGGAGTAATCTGTTGCAAAGGTTATATCATATGACAATTTCACAACATTTTTACAGACAGGCCAAATTTGATTTTTCCCGGGATTCTGACCCTGTCAGCGGCTGGACTCACCCTATTACTGACCATTTTTCAGGTAGAGTGTACTTCTTAATATTGCGAAACTACACGTGATGATTCGATTACACTCTCGAAGCATCATGGTCAAAAAACCGCAGAAACTCTATAAGCTAAGAAGGCAAAGGGGGCAATTTGCCCTAGCAGGCCAGGCTTAATCAAGGGTTCCCAAAATGATCAGGCACAAGAGAGCGGAATAGAAAATTTCATTTCTGCCAATTAGGTTGCAAATATGTTTGAAAAATGGAAGTCTTCAGTCATAAGTGTATTTAATGGAGCAGTAGATTCATCAGCAATCGTACTACTGTTTTTCAAGGTAAGGCTGTGTGTAATCTATGCTATATGCTATGCTGTGCTGTGCTGTGCTGTGCTGTGCTATGCTATGCTATGCTATGCTATGCTATGCTATGCTATGCTATGCTATGCTATGCAATGCCATGCCATGCCATGCGATGCTATGCTATGCCATGCTGTGCTATGCTATGCTGTGATAGAAGTTTAGTTCTAGAAAAAATTGATATAACATTAATCAAATTATTCTTTCTGTTTCTACCTACTAGTTGGTGTACGATGCTGGTGTTCCATTACGGTCGATCAATATATTTTTTTACATTTTCGCCATTGTTGCCATCCTTATCTTCACATTTATACTACCTTCTTTTACAATCACCTCTGAGAGAATTCGTGAAATCAATGGTTCGGAGAATCCAGAGTCCTCTCATGACAATATTCATTCCACACACGAAGTAAGTTAATTCGATGACTGTATGCTGGAGTTGATATGAACTATTTTTTAGCCCCAAGATATTTCTTCCCTTTAAGTTATTGCTTTTACAACAAAGCCTCAGTTAGGTGTAAAGAGAACCTAAGCACTGAAGTTAGGCTTGGTCCTAGCGAAATTTTGTGCTGATTCAATTTCAGGCAAAAGAGAGGAGGCGGAAGAAACATTTAGTAAAGCTAAGAGAAATGAAAAATGTTCATTTTTTCTTTGAAGACCGTAGACAAGCCACTTGTACAAGGTGATCAAGCAAACGGAACAAATAGAATAATTAGGGAATCGGAGTCGAATTCGATAGGAAAGACTCCTGAAAAGAATGGAAAGGTGCAAGAGGAAGCCGATTCACAGTTGTCTCCACTTTTTCAATCAGAAGAATACGAAGACGATGAAATAAAAGATAAAAAGGACGGCGGTGGAACTAGCCCAGGTACAGAAAAGCTCACATACTGACGATGTTCTTGGAAGACAAGATATCACTGATATATCACAAGAACACTTGATGTCTTCGTTTGAAATTTGTTTTATTTTTGCTTTTTTTTTGTAATTGTCTGCCTTCAGTGGTAAAGCGTCACAGCATATTATAACTAACATCATTTCTGTCTTTCTATCACAGATTCCACGCCCCGATTGATAAGCTTGATGTTAACCTCCGAGTATATCCACACGACGTTTTTTCTTAGTTTGTGTAACCTTCGTTTGTGGTTTTACGTCGGTTACTTAAACTCGTATTTGGAATTCATGTCTGACAATGACCATGATACAGGTAAATAAGAAATGAAATGTAGGAAATGTAGTGAAATGTAGAAAGTATACTTGGAAACGTAACATCTTGAAGACTTTCGAGATGATATTTCATGATCAATTTATCGAACTAAATAGAGTAAAATAAAATATGAAAAGTCGAAATTTACATGCAGTATTTTCGAAGAACTTGTCTTCTAGTTCTGAAGTGTGATACTCAAATTTTATGAAATCGAATTTCGGCAGTTCTGGTGGACCTAGACGTGAAACCTTAAGGCCCTGTTACACGGTGCAATTTCTCTTGCAAGTTGCAATGGAGTTCTACTTTTAGGAGATGCAAATTAATAAAGATCCTCCAAATATAAGTGCGAGAAACTTGCATGGAGTATAATAATAAACACAGAAGTTTCGTAGTTGCTAAATCTACATCTCTCAAAAGTATAATCGTATTGCAAGTTGCATGAAAAATTGCACCGAGTAACTAGGGTGGTAGAAAACCAAGAGCGCATTCTTTTATCTAAAAGTCATTAGGTCTAGCCGACGCTCGAGAATCAATGATATTTAGTATCTTGTGTTTCCACGTTTTTTAGTAAGTCACTACACGAACTGGTTCGGGATCGCGCAGTTTTCCGGTTTTGTTTTCGCCCCTATCGTTGGTATTGTCATGGATTGGAAACCGAAAGGAAAGCGAAATCAGAAGACTGATTTGGGTTTTGTCGTCGGGTTTTTTCTTACCTCATTCACCGCTTTCGTTTTAAATATTTTGGTTCTTGTCCCTGACCTTTCTGTGCAGGTATGAACACGCCGCATGCGTCGATGGAATTATCTTTTTTTAGCTAATTCCACTAATAACGAAGTGTTAATATATACCATTTTGACGTTCTAGTATGCGTCTTTCGTCGTTCAAGTTGTTCTAAGAGCCTTCGTCTACACTGTCTATTCAGCGTTTCTCTTACACAAGTAAGTTTCCTGCACATATACTTGTGGGACAAATATATTGACATTTATTGTATTGCCAATGCTTAAAACCCTGGCGTTTTTTCTCTTCTCATAAACACTTTGTCAAAAATATTGGCAAAAATGAATTCCAATTGCATCAGGTTGCTACAGTCGTGTGCCTATTGATCGCTGCATTCGTAACGTGGTGTTTTTTTCGCTCTGGGCTTTGTGTGCTTTTGATAGGTATTTTGTACTAACTTATTCCCTTTTTAATTAGATTTCCATTGTCGCAATTCGGAAAATTATACGGCGCAGGCCACCTGATATCAGCAGTAATAGGTTCTATACAGTATGGTCTGTTTACGATTTCCGAAGATACCCTTGAGAAAGATCCATTTTGGGTACGTACTGCACTTGATATATTCAGCTATTTATCTATGAATATGTAGACCAATGCTTATATACGTTGAAGAACTACCCGTTATTAAAAGTAAAATCATTTTTAATCGCTATATGTATAGTTTGGCTTACTTCATACATCTTCACATTATTTGAGCCAAACAAATTGAACTTGTCGTAGCCCATCTCAACCCTATCTTAAATCACCTGCGGTTGTGATAATTTATACGTAACACTCCAGACACATGCAACGTATCATGCATATCAGTGGTGGTCACACTATAAGCCACTTTTTATGGGTGATTTCACCAAAGCAATTTCACGTATAGCATGAATATTTTCAAGAGACCATTTTGAATATAGCGTGTTTCTTTTTCGATATAGGTGAATGTTGGTTTTCTAGTGTCTTGCTTGTATCTGAATGTTCTTCCAACCCTTTTGTGGTTTAAGGAAAGGAAAGCGGAACGACTGCAAAAACGTAATGGCGAAAAACGTATAGTAATTACATAACACTACTATCTATGCAAGCCGGTGGTGAAGGGAGGGAGTTAAAAGAGTTGGAATGGTGGATGCTACATGGTCGCATTTACACCCTGTAGCTTCGGAACGAGGAATTTTCGTGTCCGAGATTGATTAGAAAGTGTTGATTGAAAGGAATGTCTTATGACCTGGGTTATTACGGTTCTAAAATTAGTGTCGGTTTTTTAAACGTTCCCGTTTGCACGAATTTGAATGGAAATGTTAAAATACGTAAATTTTTACCTTCATGCTGTTAAAAAGCATGCATATTGTTATTAGTATGCATTCTGCCTCTGTCCATGAGCTATTATCACACGATGCGCGTTTTCAGTCTGCATCGTTTGGTTGTGCCATATATATAAGATGCAATTTAGAGAATGTGCACGTGTTAGAATACGAATCATGCATGCGTATAACGAAACACATTGCGCTGTGAAAAAATCAAAACATTTAGACTGGGTGCTAAAGTTCGGACTAACAGAAAACACTTAGGAAATTAGTTAATCACATTTTCCCTAAAATTTTTTTACGAACCTCTTAGATTGTCATATTTACAATTTAATTTCTTTTCATGTTCACAGTTCCATTTTTCTGTTCCTCCATATTTTACAACCGCAATCTATAACAATACCATCATCAGCGCGAATAAAACTCTCAACTTAAACTTACGAAACAATACATATAGTGAACATATGTTGACGATTGGTCTGGTTCATATTCACACGATATTAAACTATATGGCTCATATGCATGTGTAGAAGAACGTAAGCGCGGGACTTTTACGCATGCGTACGTAGCTGCATATAATTTCGTATGACATTCCTATGGTTTTCTACATTCTTGGATCATTCAGGCAATGAAAAGCCAAAAGAGAAAAGCGAGTGCCACCCAAAGGAATATTTTTGAAAGAAATTGTTCCTGCGCTTCCTGAGGTGATCCGGGAGCCGGAGCTGTAAAAATATCGAGAATTACTATATACAATATATATATAATAATATATAGGGGGCGGTTGTATCAAGCCCGTTTATGGTTTGGCTTAAACGGTGGATAATCAAGATTAAATAACACTCTTAGATCTCTCTTGAATGAGTCAACTTGAATTTTATGCACTGAATATGATGTAGTTGTAAACAGTATCTTTGTATTATGGTTGAAAACATTTACTTTGCTTGTTCAATAAAACGATAGACTTGCTTTCTATTTTAAACTTAACCACCGTTTAAGCTAAACGGGCTTGACACATCCGGCCGCAGAAGTTCAAGTTTACGAATGAGCTTATGTTCAACTTTCCTGAGTTTTTTTTTCAAGTGCTTGACGTGCTGATGTAAACAGCAGATGGACATGCGATAATAATATGTGACAAATATCTAATCCGTAGTCTTGACTCTTGATAAGAAGACTTAAACTTACCCTGTCCAAAACCACCGACATTCTAAGATAAAGCAAAGAAAAATAAAATATTTTATTATTAATGTTTGTTATTATGTATGTATGATTAATTTCCATCCGACTAGGGCCTCCTTAAGATTCAATATCTTTGGAGTTTGGTATGCAATCAACATCAACGCCCCCCATGTAATACTTACACCAGCTCCTGCTGTTAAGAATGTGAAGGGAAAAGCTCCTATACCAAATGATACATGCCAACCACCACCCATATCCAACCCAGGAAATATCTGAAGCGAAGTAATATTAATTCATCGGGTGAGAATTTTAGTATAGGTTGATTGCATTACTTTGAACACACGATCACAAGTGTAATACACGATAGGCTTTAGTTATTACAATGATATTCAAGCAATTTTTCGTGCCAAAATGCTTAGAGGACTTGAACCTTGACGCTAAAGAAAAACGGCTGTAAACTCGGGAAATCACGTCAACTATTGTGAAGAGAAATCTTGTGGAAATTACAAATTTCGAAAGAATAACAATCTTTGATAGTGGAAGCACCTTTGGCGGCCCCATTTTGATTTTTGACCGTTTCAATCAGTGGTTTCAATAATTTAATGGAAGACAGTTCCATTGGCCTTCCATATTTCGTTTTTGAAAGACTGAGTAATAAAAAATCTCAACAATCCTTCAGCGAAACATAAGTATTTTATCTTTTTCTTGTTAAAAATGCATCAATGAAGTTTTTTATCGCTATTTTGTGCTATTGAGTAAATTTTCCAGGTGAGATGGAAGCAAGAGAAACAAGAACATGAAGAATTTTAAAAATACGACTGACCCACATTCTCTTCGACAACGGTAAGAAAACGAAAAAAGGTAAGGCATTTTTATGTGAAATATGGAAGTGTAAATGCAGATGTGATAGTTTTGCTGCAACAGAATGCTATTGATTGATGTAATTCACACACCATGTCACAGGAGGGGTATGTAACCCCTTGAGGTGAATGTTGTTAGGGGGTTCCCCCTCCTCCCAAAAAAAATACATAGAGATTTTTCATACAAAAAGTTACAGCAAAGTTGCCAAGAAGAGGCAAGTAGGTTGGCAAAAAGGGGAACAAAATGTCACAGTTGGGACCTCAAGAAGTTTTTGTGTATCTTACTCCATTATTTTCTGGTTCAGTTCTTTGTCCTTGAGGTCTTGGCGGTGTTTTATCTCTCGGATCTGTTTGATCACTGCTCCCCCGGCCATACAGAGGGATCACTTTGTCCCGACTGATACCCGCTTTGCACACAGGGCATGCAGATCTGTTTGGTCTTGTCTCTAACCACTGTAACATGAAAAGACACTTAAATCACCAGAAAAAAACATGATTCTTATTTAAAGTTGGTTTAATGGTTGATTTCTTTGAAAATGTTTTAACCAATTGTTACTTACCCTTGAGAGACACGGCCAACTAAAATGAAAATGACAGGGTAGTTAAGGTGGACACTCTCCTTTGTGGAATTTGTATCTAGAGGATGTAATGTGGGTCTGTATTGAGGAGCTAAAGTGTTCAAAAAAATGGGTACTAACCCATTCTAAAAATGCGATAGTCTCTTCCAAAGCCATGAAAAATTACTTTCATGAATGGCATCGACTGCAGATTTGAAATTAGGAAACCCTTATTAATGCCACTATAATACCTTATCGATAAGGATGCATTTTTGATATGGGATTATTAGGGCCGCCTGGAAACACTATGAAAGTTAAAAAAAAGTATGCGTACGTCCTGACCATGTTTTTGTACGTTTAGGACCATGTTAAATCACGCATAAAGTGCCAAACGGAACGGAAATACGGACGTAACCCGTTTACACAGGGCAGTTGAATTGATAAATATTGTATATGAACACTATTATATTGCCCACAAATGTGTTTTTTTCTTACCAAAACAAATGGCCGCACATACTAATTACAGCTTCTTTCGCCGTATCAAGACATATGTTACATTCAAAGTTTGTATTGTTGGGTTCTTTGCTTTTGTCTTGATCTGAGGGCGCTGTTGGATCTTTTTTATTCTCGTTTTCGCCAACATTTTCCTCTGTTGTATTGCTCGCCATTTTTGTTTACATCATTCTTGGGCTTCCACTTTGGTTTGAGAATATTCATTTCTTTGGAAACTTATGTTTTCCGAAAAAAAGTAAAAAAAGTAACTGTTTTATGTTGTGTTAGTGGAATTCTCAAAGCGCGAGAAATACAAGAATATTTATATTCTTTCATAAAAATTTTAGCTCTACTGACCTTGTAGTACCCCCAATTGTTCTTCATTTCTTTAAAATTACACTGCAACAGTCCATTTGAAGTACCAAGGAGCATGCTTGCTTTATATATTCTGTGATTTAACATTTGCTGGCTATATTTCATAGACGGTGAGTTTAAAGTATAACTGTAAAAGAAAGAATGAAAAAATACTCCAGTTTGCTACCAATTGTAGCCCCAGAACGAGCTCGCCGCTTTGTGCGTTCCGAAAACTGGTATCTACTCGCAGTTGCCATAGTAACGAAATACAATATGGCGGCTCAATAACAATGACAGTCCGATAAAATGTAATTTCGTTCGCGAAATTTAGCGTTCTAAATCGTTTTGCATGCTTCAATGTTCTCCCAATAGTGATGCCTGAATTGTGTGCAACGGACGCTTTTTATAAACAGCTCAAAAGTCTTCGAATTGAAGACTTTCCTTGCGGCCTTGGATCTTGGGTATGTTGTTGCTCTTATCTTAACGGATCGTTTTAATTGTACCAAATATCGATTATCGAGTCACTAAAGTATATATTTACCCACTTTTTAAGTTTTTTTAAACAGAGGCTTCAAAATATACGTCCTAGTTTATCTAAAAAAGCTACTTATGTATTCCAGTACAGAACTATTCCTAATCACATTACCTAATTTTCTGGGGTTAAATTTCAACAATGTTTGATGTTTTAGAGGCAAGCATTGGGCCGAAGTGTATCAAAATATGGTAAGACTGAAAGATTATCGAAGACCTAGTGGTTAAACAAACAACATTTTGACTCGTGACAGTACACCTTCTTGCCTAGATTCTGGTGGAGTGCAGTATGAAAGTGTCGAAGCTTTGCTAGACCTTGAGAAAAGTTCTCCATATGCTGTTGATGGTGGTTGGAGCAAAGAGGCAGCAGACTTACGAAAGATTGCCATAGAGACGCCACATTTCTTGCAAGATCCTAGTTTCGTATTGAGACACTTCACAACGCTCAGAATTATAGACAAAAATGTAATTTATGAAAATTTCATTCGGTAAAAGGTTGCTGGGGCTTGCACAAAAATCGCAAGTCTATATTCTCTTTTTTTGGAGCCATCTTAAATCGTAAATAGTCTAAATTCATCTCCATTTCGCATTATTACACTTTCAAAGTGTGGCATTTTATTGATCTAAACCACTCTTCCTCCAAACTTCCTATTGTCGCAATAAATACGGTCCAGTATAGGGTAACTCCAAAACTTTCATCATTTTTACCTTTACACGTGTAAACTCGCTTCTGTGTTGAGTAATCGAACGTTACGTTCATATGATGTAGGCTAACATTTACCGAAGGGTGCAAAACCCATGTGTTGTGAATTATATTCATGCATGGCCAAAAGTATATTTGGTGAGTCTAGATAGTAATGTTGACTATTGTACAATTCAGGTTAACATCATAGACGAAGGTATTTTAAAGTTCGTTAACTTAAAGGAGTTAATTCTGTCTGCAAATCATATCAGCAAGATAGATGGGAAAAATTTACCGAAAGGATTAGAGGTAATTTTTGCGGAGACGACTGTTGTAATCAGTTAGTAGGAACGTTCATGAAGAAAATCCATAAATGGTAGAGGTGGGACAAGGTCCGAGTGTTTTGGGCGTGGAGTGGGAGCTTAAATCGTCTTCTGTCTATATTAGGTCCTAGAGTTAGCTGCAAACAATGTCTCTGACCTAAGTGCATTGAAATCTGCCAATCTTTGCTCATTGCTGCATCTTGGCTTGGCTCAAAATCAGGTCACTAACATTTTACCACGTTCTTATACTCCTTCAAAATGGTGAGTTAGAGCTACAGTACCAATTACTTAGGTATTGTTGCAAGTCCACTGTTTTCTATATCAGTTCTTGTAAATGATATTTTAAAGTTGGGTGTGGTTTCCAATTTGAATCAATAGCTACAAAAACAAAACACTCAAAACTCCTCAGTCCACTCAACCATATTTTAACATCCACGGTAGGCCATCATTGCTATCACTTGATCTCAGCTACAACAACCTCAGCAATCTTCAAAGTACTGTAGAAATTCTGAAACAACTTCCAGCTCTCAGAAATCTTCTACTTGTCGGTAATCCACTTCATGTAAGTATGTGTAATACAGCTGTGACCAACCATGAACATATTCATTGGTGGATACAAGAAAACTTTTTGATTGCTTGTTGCTGTTCTTTCTCCAGTTGGCGAAATGCTACCATGGTTTCTTGATTGACAGCATTCCAGGTCTTTCGTATCTTGATAATCAAGAGGTCTCCGCTGATGATAAACATCGTTTCAAATCATTTTCTAAAATCAAAGGTAACCATGTATTTTGAAATTACATACTTATGCTGTATTTATATTGAGTATTTATATTTGTTCTCTTCATTTTCTGGAATTTCAAATATGTGTTAACTTTGTACACCAGATTTAGACGTGAATAACAGTTATGTGACTCTTCGAATCATTGGCATAAATGATGTTAAGAATCCTGTCCAAATAGAGGTTTGTTTACTCGTAATCATCGATGTGGAGGGGCCTTGTTTTGCACCCTAATCACGCAACTTAGCAACGACCAAAAGGATATCAGCAAGCTAACTATTCAGAAAACAAAACAACGTCGGTACATTTTTTTATTTTCACACTTTCACCTTACGTCCAGCCATATTTGTTTGTTTAAAGGACCCCGAAGATGGCGATTTTCCAAAAGTTGAGCATAAATATCACGTCGAATTTATGTTCATGAAGGACAAGGTTGAAAAACAAAGCGATATTACTGAAAATATCGATGGTAAAGAATTCGAAGATACCGCCGCAAACGATAGCGAAGGTGAATCATAGTTTACCAAACGTATACCAAGAGGATTCTGTATTACAACTCATCATTACAAAACTACCTTGTTTAATGGCGCTTATTAAGGAATTTTCATGCATTCACAGGCAACCTTGATTGTATTTCCACTGACAACCTACTTTGGGCAGAGATGCTTGAGTTTGACTTCTGTAAAACGATCAAGATTTCTGAGCTGAGTCGGCTTAGGAGTTTTCTCAAAGACGGCATCACTTTCGGGGTGGTTGCCGTAAAACACTCGTACGTGCCGGACGACCCAAGCCTTAGCGAGGATCAAAACATTGCTGCTGTGGTAGCTGGCGAGAAAACACAGGAAAAGCATGCCGTCAAAACTAGTGCGTCTAAAGATCGTATTAAATTGGACGGGAAAAAGTCGGCGAAAACTAAGGTAACCTAATGCAAGTTGTGTAACGTAATAAAAGTGAAAATATTGCCTAAAAAGGCTTTTTGTGCAGTTAAAAGTAAAAGTATAGCTTCCGAATATACCTAAGTACTATTGAAATGAAATCTTTTCCTGCACATTCTCCTCTTAGTCGAGTGTAAAACTATGTATTATTTTTAATCAGCTTGTCTTTTCCAGAGTGCTGTCAAGGTGACGGTTGGGAAGGAAAAAGGCGGGAAAAAGGACAAACGTGACGTTAGCGAGTTATTCGAACTACCCCAGGAGCGCAAAACCGTGGGCACATGTCACGTGTTTCTTGCGTCATTTCTGGATGGCGATACTGTGGTCAACGTCAGCTCTCCGTGTGTGGAGGAGAATACGGGGGGTGAAAATGATCGGACAACTGAGGGTGATGCAGAACTGCAGAGTGCTAAACGATCTGATGACAAGAAGAAAGGGAAAGGTGGGTCGTGACCTGGTGGTTGGCGTTAGTTTGCAATGCACATAAAAGTTTCTGATTGGTTCAAAAATCTTGATTTCAATTTTCCCCCTAAATCAGTTTATGATTTTAGCGGGCAATGAGATTTTAAAGCAAGATGCGTTTGTTTAAAACGTTGTATTCATATTGTAAGGTATTTTTATCTCTGACAGGGGATGGAGACAAACATCCTAAAATTATGCCTCCAGCAAAAGGTAAGACGAAATCCGCAAATCCTCTTGCTGGAAAAGGAAACAAAGGTGGAAAGGGAAAAGATAAAGTGGAAGAATTAAGTGAGGCACACGGTGACGAGGAAGCACCACCCCCGCCGCCACCGTTGTCTATAAAACTGGAGGTGAAGCTGGAGCGTTTGACTTGCACAAAAGATGCTTTGGTAGAAGACAAAAGCTAGATTATTCCAAATGTTGTACATTATGTAGAGTTTTGTACAGTAACGTTTTGTGATCATAAGTTATTTAAATTCACAGAAATGGATTGAAAATTGATATTCACGGCGAACTTAATAATGAATATTTTTGGAATTTTATACTTTTTTGGAATTCCCGGTCAGATTTTTCCCGCCTCTCCGTGGTTCCTCATCCGAAACCCTTTTGCAAGGCTATAGGAATCGGGTGCAAAATGGCGGTAGAGGCGGCAGTGAATCGCTTGGAAGCTTTGGTACGATTTGTAAATATATCTTCAGTGCTAAACACTATATAATAGCTTTTGCTTCTTTCTTTAAATTAAATAGCTTTTGCATCTGTTTCCGAATACATTCCTTCAAATCCTTAATATTTTGGAGTAATTTGCCCGTTTTTTTTTGAATATATTTTAGGCGGGAAATTTGATTTATATTTCGTCGGGTAAATTTAGGTTGAAAAAATCGACGCAGATTTGAACTATGCCGTGCTGAAATTGTCAAACGGGTTCGACAAAAGTTCTGAGGATGGTTTACGAAGCGGAGTGAGCATATATTTTAAAATAGATTAATTTGTTCAGTGTTTACAGTGTTTAGTTCGTTATAATGACCTTTATATACTGTATTAAACTATTCAAAAGCATTCTTACTCAAGCCTTAGATAGTTGATAGCTATGGCATGCACCTGAGGATGGAAGGTCTAATTTTATGATGCATTTTGTTGATAATAAATTTTAACAATCTGTTATACAATCAGTATTAAAAATCAGTATTAAACTATTCTGTACTTGCCCAGATTGGAAAACTTATATCAAAATTTTCTATGCGTAGTTGTGAGTGATCTGAAACGATTAGTTGCAAGCTTTGAGTGGTCAATATCAATCTGATGCAAACTATGAACTAAATTTGAAGAAATCTAGTCATAAACAAGAGAGTCTTCCATGCTGGACACTTGGATCTAAAAGTCTAATATTCCACAATGGTTTCCTTAAGTTGTGTGTCTGCCCATAAAGAGTGTATGTACTGTAGTCAGCAAGATTGTGAGATCTTGAATACTGTTTTAGATTAATCCAGTTCGTCTTATTGAAAGACTTCAGAAAGCAAAGCAAGATTTCAGGACTTTAATGAAAGAAAGTGATGAAATAGAAACAAATCAAAAGGTATTATCAAGTCTTATTGCTGTGTAGATGCCATGTATTGGATTGTTTAGTAACAATTTTAATTTTTGAACCTCTGTTTGATAGACAATATCACAGGAATTGTCAAGATTAACATCAGACCAAATAAGGATGGTTAACAAACTTCAGCTACACACTGGAATGCAGCAATCCAGTACACATGTTGACAATGAAGAGTTTAGGATTCTTCATCAGGAGTGTGTACCGGGTAATGCTCTTGAATGTGGAAATATTGTCGGTAATATATGTATTTAGCATAGGTGAGATTGTTCTAATTTTTGGGGTGTTCTCTATTCAGATTTAATGCAAAATACAACATGCAGATCCCTTGACAGTGCTTTCCAACCTGTGACAGAAAATGAATTCATGAGCATCTCAGATTTGGTGCGTGGAAGGTCAAAGTTAGAAGATGTCAACCAGGTGCATATAAATTAAGCTTATTTTGTTGAATAATAGGGTCTTTGACTTTTATGTAAAATGTACTTTAGAACAAGTTTAAAATTTGTTTCAATGCCTATTTAATTATATGTACATAGAAAATAAATTACATTTTACCAAAAATAGATTTACCACAAGATAGATTTCTGATCAGTTTTATTACTGAGCAAAGATCAGTATTGCATAAGTAGAAATACCTCCAGCCTTCATGCAATAATTATTGTTTATATTGTTTTTGATAGGTTTATGATGTTTTGTTCACATATTTTCAAAAGAATCGTAAGGCCAGGTTAGCTTTAAAAATATTGGATTTGATTTATATATTACAATGATATTTATAATCTTTGGAAGGCTAGTTTGTCAATGACGTTATTTTAAATTGTGTTTTGATGTGACTCATTACTATTGCCATTTGTTCTTAGTTGTCTAACATTGAAAGAAATGACAAAACTTGGTTTGAAAGTTACCGGAGCGACCGGAAACGCGAAATTGAAGGTATTTCATGTTTTCATATTATATAAACCTTGTATTTATGTGGCAAACTACTGGCTGCAGTCAGAAAAAAATAGTGGTGATAATATAGTGACGCCACTCAGTCGTCAAACATGACAGACTAGAACCAGTCATTTTAAACTGGAGTAATTGGTAGACTTGCGCAAGCCTGTCGTCGAACGTTTTTACATGACAGACTGGCACCAGCCTGTCGTCGAACTTTTTTACATGACAGACGGGCGCCAGTTTGTCGTCGAACTTTTCTACATGACAGACGGGCGCCAGTTTGTCGTCAAACATTTCTACATGACAGACGGGGCAAGCCAGTCGTCGAACATTTCTACATGGCGAACTGGCGCCAGCTTTTCGTCGGACTTTTCTACATGACAGACTGGCGCCAGACTGTCTTCGAGCTTTTCTACACGACAGACGTGCGCCAGTTTGTCGTCGGACTTTTCTAAAAGACAGACGTGCGCCAGGTTGTCGTCGAACTTTTCTACATGACAGACTGGCGCCAGACTGTCTTCGAACTTTTCTATATGACAGACGTGCGGCAGTTTGTCGTCGAATTTCTCTACATGACTGACGGGCGCCAGCCAGTCGTCGAACATTTCTACATGGCGAACTGGCGCCAGCCTGTCGTCGAACTTTTCTGCATGGCAGACTGGCGCCAGGCTATCGCTGCGGCTTGTGTAAGAAAAACCTTTAGAACATGATTCGTACGGTTCAAACGCAGTGTAGAACTACACGTTAACTTTTATGGAGACATCACCCCGGCTATTTTAACACTGTCCTTGATATTCGCATTTGATTTAATTCGCATGAGCGAAGCGATGTATAACTAGTGGCAGTGCATGACCTCATTGAAAAATACTATAAGCAAAGTACTTTTAGGTTTTGAAAACTTTAAAAATTATCGACATCGGAAAAGATGGAAGTGTGAAGATGCTGTAGACACGCTCGATCCTTGGGGAAACCAATAGAACAAGGGAAACATTGATCCGGAGACAATATTATCTATACATGAATTTTAAATGGAGACTAGCTGTTCAGGACGCCTGAAGCTTTTGTACACGAAGTTAAAGCGGTTGCAACTTGCAAATAAGTTGTAGCCGCTGCTTCGGTCACAAAGCGATGTATGATGGTATGGTAAATTTCCATGGTAAAGGACATGTCTGAGTCTTGTTTTTCCATAACTGCTTGACGTCTATAGTTTCGACAAAATATCTATATAAAGAAACTTTCTCGATGAAGAAACGCATACAGCTATTATAATTTTTGCACACGCTTAAATATTCGCAGCGTTTTCAGAACTTTGCCTATTTTTAAAGCTGGTTACTTTGTTTGTATATATTTCTCAAAAAGTAGATAAAGTGAATGGCCATGCAAATGCATTGTTTATGCATTTATGGTCACATAACCTAGCTCTTCCCAGAAATTAAGTTGAAAACTTTTAACATTTGATCATAAAATAATTCACAATGCAGTATTTTATACACAACTATGCACTACTATAGTGTTCTTTATCGTAAACGCGACTGTAATATATTATAAGTCCCAGGCAATAGGAACAATCATTGAAAATAGAAAGGTGTTTTATTTTATATATTTGCATATAGTTTTTTAACATTTAGGCATGAACATTATACAGTATACGCTGATTGTATATATATATATAGCTAAACATAATTGAAAAGTTAGGCAAAGTTAAAAATATATAGCTAAACATAATTGAAAATATAGGCGTACACCTATAGGTATAGCTATGATTTTTGCAGATGGAAACATATTGATGATGACAATAATATATACATTAATTTTATTTTAACTGGATTAAATTGCAGTTTAGAGTTCAATTAAAGATTATTTACTCACACCAGAAACCAAAATTTATATTTGCAAAAGAATAGTATATAAATCTGGATTCATTGCAGTGCTGAAGAAATGGCAAAAGGAAATGAATGAGAAATGGGATTGATTTGTACTCATCTCATTTATACACAAATTGCCGACTTTATTTAAGTTGCCCAATTTGCATTTTGTGTTTGTAAGCTACCACCTTCCTTTAATTGTTGTGGTTTACATTGATTTATCCCAGAGCACTGATTCATTCATTCCAAAGTGGTTCATGCAAATTATTTTTGAAATCTAAAAATCGTAGATTTTATAGAACGGAATAACAAATCCTCGAAATGAATTAAGTTCTATATCAATTGGTTCAGCATTGTTCGTTATAAAACTAAAAGTTTTGCTGGGTTTTTTCCTCCTACTACATACGGTAAAGTATTTTCTTCAGTCATCGTTATCAGAGACATAAAGCAAACAAAATACCTCTGCTGACGCAATTAACTAAACACTTTATTTAAGATGCGCAACCACAATTTTTAGTATTGTGTTTGTAAGCTACCACCTCCCTTCAATGTTGTGGTTTACATTCATTTATTCCAGATCACTGATTTTGAAATCTAAATTTCGTAGATTTTTCCACGAAATAACAATTCCTAGAATGATTTGTATCTCACTTGGTTAACCATTGTTTGTTATATTGCAAAATTTGCCACATCAGTGATCATTGAAATCCATAATACGTAGAATCTTCTTCCACGAAATATCAAATCCTCGAAATAAGTTTAGCTCGGTCGAGCATTAATAATTGCTAGATTATACAATAGTTCAGGTGTCATAATATATATTTTCACAACGCCATATTGCCCACAATGGCTTGAATAATTTATAAAAGTAAAAATCAATACCAGCCAACAATTACCTATATTTTGGTTTTCAAGATGTTAATCTTCGGATTTTGTTTTATTTAGAAGTAAATACAGTTTATTTTATACATATCGTGATTGTGCTAATAGATTACATTACGTTACTTTTGTACGCTGAAAACGATCCATGTTTTCCCGCATGGTTTTTCTATCCGTACTTATATCAATCACATTTTAAATTCAGCGATTCATTCATTTTTATGCGGTTAAGAATTAATCCTTTGAAGTATATACTCATTATCTTGACAGTAAAGTATTTACTATACTTATTCCAGACCACTGGTCATTCATGCCTGCTTAAGTAGCTAGAATTTGTTAAAATACCTGCGGTTTGGCGCTTTATTAGGTATGTCAATTTCCGTTTCTTACTTACAAATTCAAAAGGTTAGCGCATAAATATAGGTCGTGCAGTCAGGCGAGTTTGCAGTTTATGCTTTGGATACTGTAAGACCAAGACACAAAGTTAAAGGTAAGTTTCTCGTTTTTTATTCACTCGCTTCACTGCCAAATGCATGCGTGCACAGATTTTATGTGAAAGTTCTTTTGCATACATACAAAGTCAACCTTTCTTGCAATTCTGTTTTGATTGCTTAACAACTTCACGTGCACATTTCAACTAAATGTAATATCGAATTATATTTAAATCAACGTTGTTGTGATGGGTGCTTTATTGGTAAACTGCTTTATTGGTGTCGTGAACTGCTGTAAAGTTTTAAATTAACGTTGTTGTGATGGGCGCTTTATTGGTAAACTGCTTTATTGGTGTCGTGAACTGCTGTAGAGTATGAATGCCCATAAAGATTATCTACAGACATCCCTGAAGTTCAAGGCAAAATTGTGGAACTTTCATGTCATTTTCGACATCATTTTTACCTATATTATTGCTCTTCGCAACTGCGGTTAATGCAATGTAATGCGTTGTGTGTGAAGTCAAATCGTAGCTGCTACTAAAAAATCATGTATTAATTTTCTGGCTGTGTTTTGTTAATTTTAAGGTTGAGGAACATTTTACAAAATGAAGATCATTGCAATTGCTGGTTTTTTCATTGCCTTTATGACTACCTCTGGGAGCTGTGAAGAGGTCAATGCGCTTGATGGGGTGCAAAACGGTATGGAATTACTTGCATTATTTTCTAAAAGTTTTCAGATAAGTACAGATCCAGTTTAATGTCACAAGATAAAAAGGCAACTTCCCTCTAACATTTACATTAATTATTACTCATTTACTTTCTTCGCATTAGTAACTAACGTCATTATCCAAATTACTTTGAAATTACTTATACCCCAATTGGAGAGTGTGTTGATGGTCTCTGCTTAGAGTAAACGTCAGCAAATTACTTAATAACCTTTTTGAGGTGGTTGACGTTATCTTGCTTCTGTTTTACAGCAAACTTTATAAATCACTTAGAGCCTTATTCAAGTGATTGTTGACGTGATCATTCTGTTTTGAGTTCTGTTTTGTCCTATTTTGAGAAATTCAGTGTTCATTTTACCACTTTCTTTTTCTTTGCCCTGATATAGATTTATTGAAGTATTTCTGTGGTGAGTACCCAGAATGTACTTGCTCACCCAAAACTGGTTCATGTCCTTACGGCTACGACGTTTGCGACAGCGCGAAATTTTGCAGACTTGACACGAACAAGCCGTGTTGCAAGCAGAGCTTCTGTGGCGACTACCCAGCCTGTACCTGCCAGGCGAAAACCGAAGCATGTCCATACCGTTACGATGACTGCAGCTACAAAAGATCTTGTAACCTTTCCGGCAACAGAGCTTGTTGTAAAAAGACCTTCTGTGGTAACTACCCGGCCTGTACCTGCGTCGCCACGGGTACTTCGTGTCCCTACAACTATTACGAATGTCACGACTTGAAGTATTGTAACCTAAGCAACAACAGAGCGTGCTGTCAACACCAGTAATGTCTCGGTAGACAAGCAACACCCAAAGGCTTAGATGATGTATTTTCGTAGAATATAATTATAAAAGTAGATACGCTTGCGCAAACATGTATTTTTGTTCGCTTTTAAAAGCCTAAACTATTGTATGGGTGAATAAATCTGTAACAACAATAATCCTTGTTCGTTCAATTTTTACACGTATATCAAAACTACCTTGTTTTACCTTCGATACACGAAACTATGCATATATAGAGTCTATTTTTTTCTTCTTAGAGGCTGTCTTTTGCTTCCACATGCATTGTTGATTATATAGGCATTTGACTGAGTGCGCGCGATACACTACAAAAGCTATTACTTTTTACTGGCTAACATTGCGATTTCCACGTTAAAAGAAACAGACCTGTTTAAACATAAACCGCTAGCTAAATGAGTAGGAAGACCTTAAGTGCTGCTTTGTCTTCGATTTGATCCGTGCTTTAGTAAAAAGTCAAAAGTAAATGCCCTGTTACACGGTGCAATTTTCCATGCAACTTGCAATGCAATTCTACTTTTAAGCCATGTAAATTAGTGAAGAGTTCTCAAAATATAAGTGTAACAAACGCCATGGAGTGTAATAACGACAAAATTTCGGTAGTTCTTTGGACATAACACAAGAAATTGTCGTAAACTAGTCGTTTTCAATAATGGGAAAATAGTCCGAATCTAAATTTGTCTTTATTTCTATATCTGACCCAATTTTTTGGAAGTACTTAATGTACTTATTATCATAACGACTTCTCAATAGTCAATCCCAACCAATAATTTTCATGTCTGTTCTTCTTTAATTTTTAAGTGACACTTTACATGTTCGGTAATTGAAGTCAAACTCGAATGAATGTAATTACCATTCAAGAAGTGACATCTTCAAAATCATGCTGCAACTCATTTACTCCTCAAGGACGTAAGAATGCCCGCGGTAAAATACATCAGTATTTCCATAGCTATGAACGCAAACCTACAAAGCAAAGCTACTAAAGACTAAGTACTGTACTCGATGTTTAATGCATTGTGGTATGTTAAAGTGGCAGTTTAATGCATTGTGGCTTTTAAAGTGGCAGTTTAATGCGTTGTGGCATGTTAAACTTCTCTCTTTTAAACCCTGTATAAATATTTGAACATGGTCATTTTGATAAATGGTCAACCATATTAATACTTATCATGGACTATGCAGTCTTAACCCTAAACCAGGGTTTCTACGATCCAAGGAAATTTCCTTGCAATTGACAACCACGGGGGAAAGAGGGATCTGTTTTAATACAGGGTGTCCGCAAAAAAACGAAAACTATTGAAATCACCCATAACAATGCAATTGTTAGTGTTTGAATGCCTAAGCACTCTGTTACTGATTTTTATGCATGCATATGATGCAGTAAAATTTGCTTGTTCGCAAAAATGATATTTATTAACAATATTTACAATTCACAAATATGGATAACAATGTTTAAATGTGCATCTCAAGGACCATGACCTTCGACATGTCCCCTTTCTGTAGCAACACAAAGCATTTAGCATTTGATAAGTTGCTTAAATCCCCACGGGCTGAATTCGTGAACACAGCATTCAAATTTTAACAATGAGTGATTTCAATAGTTTTCGTTTTTTTGGGGACACCCTGTGGAGTATTCATTATTTTCAAAAGTTCTTTGTTTTTCTCTTTTGTCATTGCCACCCCCCTGTGAGGACAGTCATATGCAAATAAGTTGTAGAATTAACCCTGTCCTAATCCTATGAGTTGGCTAATATCCAGTGATTTTCAAAAGTATTGGATACACACACGTCAGGATCCAAGCGATATAAAAGATTGACATGCAAATGACTCCAATCCAAGAACATGCGATTGTTCATGTATACAATTTTACAGTCATTTATAAGAAACCATTCAACGGCAGAGAAACTATTCAATTCCTGAAAATTGGTGTAAAGGTCTGTTCACACGATCCAATTTTGTTGCATTCAATTCACTTCTGATGGATGTTTTATCGTCTGTTGACTTGCAATGTATGTGGGCAACAAATCAACGTAAACCAACACAGTACTGCTTTATCAATAACTGACTTCATTCCATTCGTCAAAGTGAATTGGGTCCAACAAAGTTGGATTGTTTGAACAGACCTTAACGAATCCACATATGGTAGTGTTGTTCCAATCTAATTGACAACGTTCTTTATGCAAATACCTAACACTCTCAAATGTTTGATCTTGACATCATTCATAGAATCAATATCCGGAATCTATGACGTCTTATAGAACCAAATTGAATTGTTGTGGTTTTCACCACTTATTCCAACTCATTGATTCAGTCATTATTAAGTGAATAAACTTTATTAAAGTTTATTAACCGTTTTTAGACACAAACTGAGAAACTAAAGCTTAGAAGGCTCGTTGCTAGTGAAGCATTTTCTGCTTTGCCTGGTTAGTTTAACAGAACAAGGGAAGGAAATAAATAAACAACAACGATATTAAACGTTAGAAGCAGGGGTGGATTTGTAGCACTAGTGCACAAATTTGCATTACAAAAGAAAGTGGTTATTATTAGCAGTTCCTGGATACACCCCTGGAAGCTTGTAGATTATTGCAAAGCATCATTTCAGAGGCACCAGATTTTGCCGAAATCTGGTTAATAAACTTCGCATGAGCCTTTATTCAATTTTTAAAGCCTTAGTAAGTACCGAAAAGCATTCGTCGCCACAGTTTACCAGTAGGATGAAATCTGTGTTAGAGTAAGTTCCGAACACTATTTTGTTCTTAATAATTGTACTAAATTTGCGCTTTTTTGGAAATGCAATTTGTCCAGACACATACATAGACGCTGCAGGTGTCAACCTTTTCATAATTGCCATTACACCAGAGCTGTGCAAGGAACCAAAACGAAGGACAAATTTACATTG